GAGAAGCTTTGTAGTCACTTTCTCGGTGTATGAGAAAGTCATTAGCGATTTGATTGTTACTACACAACACATACGACTTACTGTGTGTTGGATCTGTAAATGGGTACAGAAGAGCTGGAGGAAAACCCGGGAGAGTCCAAATATTATTGATGCATTTACTTATGATCTATTTAAAATATTATTTTATTCCACTGTATCTTTTCAATACCCTTAACCCCTTTTATAAAATAATAAAGCATGAAAAGTGATGGAGCAAAACCATTCGCGCGAAATATTTCTGTTTCGTTATGTTACCGTCTGCTAAAGCGTCTTGTTTGATTTTAACAACACGCTTTTCACTCCAAACAAACGACTTTGTCAAAAGCTCGAACAAACGAAAGTAATGAACTGACTTCGGAAATTTTCAATGACAAACTTTACTTGGAAACAATACTCGGCTGCGAAGCATATGTGGAGTTCATCGTATTGTAACGAGAATTTATAAGTCTCGAAGTAAATTTATGCTCAGATGATAATTTGTTAAGAGAAATAAATTTGCATGATAAAAATCACATATCTTTAAAAAAGATCCTATGTCTAGATTCAGTTTCATAATTTATACAATATAGTGAACTAAAACTTGCTAACTAAGTAAAACTACTTTACAAATATACTAAAATTCACTGCTACTTTACAAATATTCAGTCTCGTCGAATCGTTTTTTTTAACCTAAAAATTAAAATTGTTAAAATAAATATTTAAAATTGATAAAAATTATACTGTTTTGTTAATATTTAATTTAATTTAATTCATTTGTTATTAGTTCAAATAATACAATTTATTGAAAACTTATTATATAATTTTTAAAAATATTTAAAAAGTGGAATATTGTGTTTAATAGTTTTAACTTTTTAGTTCAAGTTATGACTATTATGTATGATTCAACGGATTTTTATTAGTTTTCCTTGAAAAGTTAAATTTATATGTTCAAAGTAAATAGTGTATTGTGAAAACTTTCGATATTGAATAAAAGAAGAAATTTGAAATTTTCACAAGTTTGAATGATTGTAGAATATATTATTCATATGTATTTTCAAACTCATAGTTAATTGTGCCATCTAACTTTACAAGGATTTTTCTGTTATATTTCAATAAAACTGTAGTTCAAGTTATATAACGATTAATTTAACATGTGCAATATTTTATATCTTGAATTCTAGCGAATGAATTATTCTATTCAAATGTTTTTGCAGATAATTAATTATAATAATGTATATTACGAATCGACATTGAATTAACTTTAATTAAACTAAATAAATACTCGTATTACATTAAATGCAATGTGTACATTCGTTAGGTTTTTAGCTAATTTTATTGTTTGTACATAAATAGAGCAGTGGACATTATTTTTGTTTAATTATTTGCTCTGTATAATTGAATTTATATTATAGAATCAAATGCTTGACAAAGAAATATTTATTTTATATTAGGCAATTAAATTTGTAATTATAAAAAATACGTTTATTAAAAAAAATACTTAACTATAGTTCAAAAAAGATTTCATTAATAAACGGTTAAATTCACGATTTTCTGGAAGATTATCTATTGATTTGTATAAAATATTTGAGAACCTAAAGAAGACATTATTTTGGAATTTTTACCATGTAACTGCTACAATGAAGAATATTGAAATTAATTTTCGAACTACAATTCTTGTGATAGACTTTTTTCTCGGATGTTTGTAAATTAATTTTCACTATATAAAAACAGGAAAAGCATATGTGTATGTATATTGCATATATATATATATATATATATATATATATATATATATATTATACATATATTGTATATATATAAATACTGTTGAGCAATATTCATCCATGTTATACATGAATACCATCCGAACAAAATAAAAATAGATATCGGAAAGTTTTTGAATATTCTTTCGTGCTATGCGCTCTGAATATTTAAAGAGCAATCAGTGAATTCAATTTGGGAATTTGGCAAAAAGAAACTGAAATCAGAACACTATTCATAGACTGATGAATATATTCAACAATATACATGTATTCAATTACTAACAATGAAATTTTACTTTGCGACTTTATTGGCAGTAGGTTAGTTTGAAAACCAATATATAATACGTTTTGATTTATGAATTCTCGACTTGTTGCTAATGATTTTGTAAGTTCTTGTATTTAGAAATTCAAATGCAATATTTGACTAAAGTCGACTTACTATTAAATATCTGATATAAATTGCACAAAAATTGAAGACGAACTTATAACATTCAATTTATAAGAAAATAAAATATTTGATTACCAATACAATTAATTGAAAATATCTCTAATTTCAATATCACCAACCGCCTTCGTTTCCATGGTGTTAAATTTGTTTCGCGAACAGAAACACGATACGAGTAAGCGAACAATTTACATTGTTACAAAATATCGTTGACATTTGACAAATTGCATCTCGGCCATAATAACAAACGGACGGATGCTGTGTCAGTCATTTGATCCTGTGATCAGAGTCCTCGCGGAAAAATAAGGACGACAATGACAAACCGCGACGGGATATGGATCGCTCCACCGGCCCGATTGCTGTAATCCTACCGCGCGCAAGATCGGACGTTGTAATTTATATAGATTTATTTTAAGGATAATAGAAAAAATACAGTGAATTGCAAGTACAATTTGTTAGCTGTGGGTTCTGTATAAATATCAAATTAATTAGTGAGGTATGCGATTGTTCTCTAAGACACATTTCTGGATCGTGCCATGATATAACAAATTTGAAATTAAAATCCAAAAAATATCTTTTATTTATGATGGCATACGATTTATAATACAAATATTGATTTTTTATTCTCTGTATGTATTTTATTCTCTGTCTTCCGTGAATTCAGAATATTCTGTTCATTCATCATTTATAAAACAAATCCAACATGCTATACCAAAAATATATTCACTTAGAACCAATGTGTAGAATATATACATACCTTTTTTAAATGGAAAATGATATATCTTGTTGTTTCATACGTGGGTACGTATGAGGTGTACATATTCTTGTGCGAAATAAATATAGAACTGATGAAAAGTTTACCCAGGTTTCAGAAATCGTTGTTTAGGCATTTATTATTTTTATTATTGACTTCCCGAAGGAGAAGTTTGTTTTCATAAAAAATCCCATTTACTAATTTTATGTTTTCTCGACGTTTCAAGCCATTCTGAATCGAATGAGATCAAATTTGGAAAAAGTAAGTGTGTGTGCGTGTGTATGTGAACAGATTTTTTGCCGTAAAACGACGTTTTCTCAAAAACGGCTGAACCGATTTCAAAAATTTAAAAGCCATTCGATGTATCTCGATGAGGACTATCGCTTGTCAGTATCAGAGCGACTATCTGCCAAACAGTTTCTTTGTAATTTGGAAAAAAATGTTAAATATTTCGTCTACATTTAAGCTCATACTACCGAATCGATTTTAAAAAATCAAAAACTGTTATTAGTTGGGAATGATACTGATTAGTTTTGGATGAAAATCTATCGAGCCGTTTTCTTGTAATTAACTGTTGAAAAAAAAATTTAAGCCGATTTTATGGAACTTTTTTTGGCGATATATATCATGGTCTTATAGAACTTACTGAAATATTACTGCCTTACGACAAGTAGTTTAATTTCAAAAATTCATCTGAGAAAATGAGTAGTTTTTTTGACGTTTGTTAAAATTACAATTAGACGATTCACTTGGTATAACAATAGAGTGTTCGTTCGTTTTCAATGATTTGTGATAAATCCACTCGTAATACTTTTAATCACTCAGAATTTTTTTTTTGTTTAAGTCGATTATTTAAATATATCGGGAAGTTCATGTAACTTGTCTATATCTCAACGTTTGTTTTCAAGTATTTCGAAGTCTATATTGAAATGAGAAAAACGTTCGTGCATTCCTTGTTCTAAAAGATATAGTCACAGTGTAATGTTATATCGTGTGCATGTGAGATGATAAATCGTCTAATATTAGTCATATGAGTTGGTCATATGTCATCTGCAAGAAACGAACAAATTGGACGTATATCACACCGGCACGTTCGTTCGCAGTCACATCGCACTTAAATCGTGAACTTTTCAACTCAAATGGTCGGGTTTTTTACCAATTCTGGCTTTGACAAAAATTTAAAATAGAAAAATACAAGTTTAAACACATGGGGAATGTGAATTTAAAATAAAAACCAAGAGTCTCATCTCATTGATTATTATATAATCAACTTTTTTCGAGTCAACAAAACAAATATTGTGAGAAGGGAAATTAACGCGATTTCATCATCCTGCTAAAATTATCCTGGTATTTATGTATATTTCAAAAACATGTTTTTGATCTTATAAGTTATTAAATAATTATAATTTTAGGTGGTTTTACGTTGTTTACTAGATTAGATAAGAAAAAAATAAAACTTTTGAATGATTGAATATTTTAGCTGCATTTTTTTTACAATTTACTTATTTACATTGCTTGTAATCAAGCATTACTGTTGGTAAAGTGTAAGTACCAATTGAAGAACTAGAAAAATTCCTGAAAATTATTCAAAAAGCACATTTTTTCAACTAAGCATATTACATATATTTACTCAACGTATTACAATTACTGATTACATTCGGTTGGTTACTTACAACTTTCACACGTGATAAATTTTAAATACTGAACTGATATCTACAAATTACAAATGAAAACTTCTAACATTTTAAATACATAACTAGTTTGCTAGTTAAAGACGTCATAAAGGATTTTTATAGCTACTTAGTTAATATTTATAGAATAGTTTATTGTAACATATTTTTAATTCCAAAAATATTTTTAATCAGCCCAAGCATAGGCTTAGCATATACTATATAACGAGTTTGGATGATAAGTTATTTTTATTATACATTTAGAATTATTATTATCAGTTATTGATTTTAGAATTGTTCTATATGACGTCTCCAACCAGCCCTCACTAAACCAAATTCCCACTCTCTATTTACTTCCAGCGATCATTTTCGTAATCCCATTTCGAGGAAAGTCCATCGATAGGATTCATTCTAAGATCGATCATCCTTCTCAAAATATGCTCTCTTCTAACAGGGTCAGTCAAAGTTTCGGGTAAAGGAGTTCTAGCCGTGTTAAAGATGACAACAGCAAACCAGAATCCCAAGCCCAGCAAAAAGAAAGCCATACCAAAAACGATTTTCCACTCGCCAGTAGGAGCGTCCATTTCGGAAAATGTTTGACGGAAACTGGCTCGGTATAGAGCTTTCTTTTCTTCCACTGTCATCTTACGCCAATCTCCTAATAGAAAAGGAAACGATTAATATTTATTATAGAGATACAATTACTATACATATATTGGCCAAAATTAATGTTTTACTAGTAGTGTATGGCATCATGCCTTCAGGCAAATTGCTGGAACTTCCCGTACCGTAATTAATAAAATCGAGGAATGAAAATAATCATTAATTGTTTTAAATGATTTCAAATAGATTATTTATTATAAATACGCGTATAAATAATATTATAGTGATTATTAGGCGGCGAGCATATTCTAAAAACAACTTAATGTGTATGATTACAAGAAATTTCTTCAATTTTTTTTTTTAAATTTGTTTTTTTTTGATAATTTTGAAATTTTTTAAACGTCCGAAATATTTTGGAATTTTTGAACAAAAATCGATTTTTTTAAATTAATTGAGAATTTGAAAATTTTTGAAAATTACCGGTTTTTTGAAAATTTAAAAATATTCTCAAATTTTTGTTTTTCGAATTTTTTGAAATTTAGATTCATTTTTTCAAAAAGATAAAAATTTGAGTTTTTTGAAACTCTTGAGCTTTTCTGTGAAAATTTCCAAAGTTACGCATTATTTTGAAAATTTTGATTTTTTTTTTTTGAATATTTTCAAATTTATGAAGTTTTTTGTAAAACCATTTTTTGCACGCTGCCTACACAAACAAAAGGTTTTTTGAATTATTCTAATCGGATGATCCGTTCTCTCAAAAACTGTATGATATATGTGTGTGTATATGTATGTGCATGTGTGTGCGGATACAAATTTTCGTCGACGATTTTGCGAATACGGATCAACCGATTTGAATAATTCAAAAAACATTCGATTAATACTGATAAGGAGACGTGCTGATTAGTTTTTGACAAAGGCAGGTCTAGCCAAAAAGTGCCAAAAATGGTATTTCAGTTTTTGAGATAATTGAGCGTCCGATTTAAATACCTCAAAAAACATTTTACGTGTATTGACGAAATGCACAACTGGTAAAAATTCGGAAAGGCAGGTTCAGTGTCTCCGGAGACCAATAAAAAAAGTAAAAACCATTGCCATTTGCGGTAAAAAATAAACATTAGACATACGTACATTGTTATTATCTGATATGTTATAAAGATTATAATAATAAGTACAAATTTTGTGTACATTTATATGGGTTCCATATCAATGTTTACATAATATATTAGACGAATACGCGGCGCTTACGCGCTTTGATATTTTGACTCCGAATCAGCTATGCAGCGCTATTGCTTAAATGAATGTTTAAAATTTTCAAAAAAAGCAAATAAAAAAAATTAGCATATAAAAGAAACAAATTTTTCAAAAAAGTCAATTTTTTCCAAAAATGCTCAAAATTCCAATATTTTCATAGTTTTGCAAATTTTTTTTAATAATTCTGTTTTTGGTACGGGATGTTCCAGCAATTTAGCTTAAGGCATGATGCCATGCACCACTAGTTCACAACTGAAACAAGCGCAGCCATTTTTGGGTAAACATAGTTGTAGGTCACATTTTTGCTCACATACAAGCACTTCCCAAATTTGGTGACAAACGATTCAGAATGACTTGAAACGTTGAGAAAACATGAAAAGTTGCAAATAGAATTCCCTGACATAAACATAAAGCACTATTCTCTGACCCATCCTCCTAACATGACATTTACAATAGAAACAATTTCACGAATACCTTTCTCCTTCTCGCGCAAAGCCATTATTTCAGGTGTGTTTTCCATCCATCTGACTGCAGGGAAGGGAAACATAGTGCTCTCGTAGTAACTGTAACTTCCGTTAAGACCATAGCCCACAACTTCTCTATTTCCAATGATTCCTCTATTGTAGTAATTCCGTTTTAGAATTACATTCCGTTCGAGTTGAACTAACTTCGCTAACTCTTGAAGTTTGGTCAGTTGTCTACAACTGAGCATTTTTGCGATGGTCGGCAAATAATTACGAAAATTGATGAAATTTATAAATTATTACTTTTTCAAGCTTCAAAAGTATTACTGCCTTTTGTTTTGCAATAAACGCCTGTTGCGATGGTAATAATAGATTTTTTGGCATTTGTTTTGCTTTTTTGTTCACCTCCAGTTTAGCTGCCTTTGATAAAGGTATATTCGGTATATTTGTCACAAATTATTGAGTTGGGGAGAAAATATTTTCGTTGATCTGAATCGAAATTGTTGTGGCGGGATTAGCTCAAGAGTAGCGTTCCCGATTCACATGCTGGAGGTTCCGAGTTCGAATCTCCGGCCAGAATTTGAAAAAATATTAACTAGTTGGAATAATAATAGAATTATGAATTGTACTAATAAGATATGTATGTTAAATATAAAAATTAGATAATTAGAATTTAAAAATGAATTGAAGTAAGAAGTAATGAGAAGTATAGAAGAAAGAAGAAATAGTGGTTAGAAGATGAAGTGAGAAGATAGTAAAAGAAGAATGAAGATAAGTTAGTTAAGAAGTATAGAAGAAGAATAGGATTATATGAAGAAGAAGATAGTATAAAATTGAAGATTGTATATGACTGTATAGAATAATGTAGGTGGCTAAATGCTCGAGTAAGCGAGGCCAATAAAAAAAAAAAAAAAAAAAAAAAAAAAGAATCGAAATTGCTGTACTCATCAATTCTTATATTTTTATTATATATTTTGAAGTAAATTCCATGTCAATTCCTACTTACATTCTTACGAAAAATAAACCATATATTTCATTGTTTAGACATATGTTTTTTGACAAAGACTTATCTATACAATTAATTAAAAAAATGATCAGAGTGAATGAATCTGATATATCAATGAAACTAGTGAGGTGTATGGCATCGTGCCCTAAGGCAAATTGCTGGAACTTCCCGTACTGTAACGAAATGTTCGAGGAATACTGAATGTTTTCAAACAGATTATTATTAATATTGTAACATTATCTAATATTTATAAGTATTATATAAACTGAATTGCAAAGTTGAAATTATTTGTTTAAAGTATATAAGAACTATAGTCAGAATTAAAAATAAAATCTGAATTATTTTCGATATACAAAAAAAATTTTTTTGAAAAAAAAATAAAAAGTTGAAAAACATTTTTTTTTCCAAAATCAATTATTTTGTTAAGACAAGCAGAAAGTTTTTTGAATCATTTAACTCGAACGCTTAGTTCTTTCAAAAACTGCCATTTTTTACACATTTAGCTTCGTATCTTTGAAATGGCTGGGCCTGCCTCTGCCAAAAACTAATAAACACTTCTCTCAATCATTAATAATTGAATGTTTTTTAGATCATGCAAATCGGATGCTCCATTCTCTCAAAAACTCGATTTCTATTTTCTCCGTGACTACTGGACCTGCCTTTGCCAAAAACTAATCTCCCTATCAATAGGAATCGAATGTTTTTTAAACCATTTAAATCGGTTGATCTGTGCGCCCGAAAACGTGACTGGAAATTTGTATCCATACATACATACACACACACGCACACACATCCATTTTTTCTGAGGTATGCCAAAATGTTCAGAAACCTACAAAACGTCGAGAAATGTAAAGATTTTTGGCCCATTACAACAACTTACCCTACGGGAAGTTAATAAGTACATTCTAAGGACCAAGTAAATTTTAAGGATCATCTTATTAATATTCGGTTTTTCTTTCGACGTAGATAAGAACATAATTGCGAATATAATTTCATAAATATTTAATATTTTCCTACGTCAGCAAATAAAATGTCAAAAAACATGTTTTCAAAAGACACATAAATACTTGAACAAGTGTAACAAGATGATGAAATTATACTAATTGCCCTTCTAACAAAAATTATTCTGTTGACTCGAACAAAAGTTAAAACCATGGAATTGTATGAATTTATTTTTTGGTCAAAAGAAAATATTTACATTCGGAATTTCGAATTCTGCTAAATATCGGAATTTTTGTCAGAATTAGTACATATGTTTTCTATACATTTATATGGTTAATTAGGAGTGTTTGCTCATTACTAGACGTGGAAACTTTTTTGTAAATACTTGTTTTTTGCTTTTGTGTTGATATTTGTATTGGAAATTTTTGATGTATATTCCACAAAAAAGTTTGGTTACTTTTTATTTAATGCGAGAAAACTTTGGAGAAAGTTGTAAGTATTTTATAATAGACCACAGAGATGTAATTTTATGATCAATCAAATTGGATTGCAGTTTATTCATAGATTTCATTATAGTTTGATTATTGATCAATCTAATCTTATGATCTAATGTCGTATAAGAATACATTTATATTTTATTGAGGAAGTAATAGCTTTCCTTTGCTTAGTGGCAAGAGCTTTAATCAGGGTTTTAGATTCTTTACCATCACAATTCCCATTCTGATTTCAAACAGGAGATAGAAATATAGATCTGAAAATTTTGGTATGTGAAAATTGCATTTTCCCAACATTGCTGTATCAATGAAAACATATTTCATCAATATTGGGTGGATTCTTATAATAAAAATTGATCAAACGCCGTTGGTTTGTCTTCTGAAAACCAAGGCTGTGAAGAAGACAATGTTTTATGCAACTATTAGGTTATGATTAATGAATCAATAATAATAAAAAAAGAGTGCGCGTAAGGTTCACACGCGATTGAAGTAGAACTTATTTGTTACTGTACAAGATGGCATTTAGGTAAAAATAAAGACAGCATTTAACAATTTTGAATAATGTTTAGTAGTAATATGGTAACACTCGTGATACATTTGTAAATTGATAAATTATAAATTATATTTATAATAGCATTAAAATATGTATAATATTTAAAAACAATAATGTTTTTAAAATCATACTTCGAATATGACATGATCGGTTTGTCATTGTAATTAGCATTTAGAAATGAACCTTCATTAGAGAAATGAAGTAATTGCTTATTAATAAACTCTATAATATCCGTTCACACAGTGGATTATGTTAAACGACGCCTAGAGTAGACTAATATTGTTTTCGCAACTTTACTCATCATGTAATTGTGTATGAAGAACTTCATATAACTAAAATTAACATACATTCATTGACTGCTTGTATTTTTTTTTACTTTTTCGCTGGCGATACAATCTCATTTTTTGAAGATCTGTTTTGCCTAAAAAATATTCTCCATTTTAATAACGTCAAAGATTAATAGAAACTACGAACAATATAGAAATAATTTTTAATCAATAAACTTACGTTTTGTATACGGCACAATTGTTTAATTTGTTTTATTATTTTCAAGGAACAGGATAAAATATTCTTCTGATTTAGGAATATTTTATTAAATCAAGATTTGTACTACGATATAACTTTAAAATGTTTATTTATGCCGATTTCCTTGTTGATATCGGACGCATACAACATTGATGAAGTTTTACTTCGATAAGAAAATAAGAAATGAGATGAGTTTATGAATGATGGTATAAATTTTCATTATTATTTAAAAAATTTTACAGATTTATTGAAGCAAAATGAATCAACAAGATGTTAGGCTACAAATTCATTGAAGTAATAAGTAAATCTAATTTATGTATGAACTGCTAACAAAGTTTGTATGAGGCCGCAAGTATGTTATTACGGTCCGTTGTATAATATTAATATCGACGTATGTAAGTACGAAATTACTTGCTAATATCAATATTTGCGTTCCAGGTTGATATTGTAGCTGGCAAACACTCGACTACCGGAGTCTTAACTAAACAGCAATTCGAATTGAATTCCATTTAATTTAGATACTGAAATAAATTGGTTCAATTTGTTAAAACCATTTTGTGATCAGTCAAATTGACCGAAATCGATAATATTAATTACACAAATATATCAAGTTGCTGATACTTTAGAGATGAGACTTTCCTCAATTATCTACATTTTGTAAATAACAAAATTAACTTTATTTGAAATTATAATGAAAATTTTAACTATTTTGGAGCAGAAATCGTCGACAAAAAGTTGTCTTCACACAAACACACATACATCAACTTGTTCTGATATATGCCAAAATGTTGGCTGGACCTGCCTTTGCCAAAAACTAATCAGCACGTCTCCTCATTAGTAGGAATGGAATGATTCAAATCTGTTGATCCGTGCGCTCAAAATCGAGGATAAAAAATTGTATCCAACCATACATACAAACATACGCACACACACATACACATACATTTTGTTTAGAAACCTTCGTTTCATTTTCATTTTTGGACAATTACAATACATTTTTCTAAGGGAAGTTGAAAGAGTTAGAGAGTTAGTAATTTTGTTGACCAAGCTTTCCCTTTTGATACATAGGGGGAAGTCCCGTAACGCCGGTCGGCACCAAATATTGCACACTGTATTTAACACGTATTATTAAAGCAAGTATAAATCTTTTCATTTCAAAATACAAGTGAAAGGGGCACGGGGGGTACACAGCATAGGATCACGCGCCAAGCCTCGCCTGTGACGCACACGGCCACGGCGAGAGCAACCCTTTTCTGTTTTAGGCGCAAAATCACGGCGTCACCTGAATATCAATGGAAGTAATTCTAGCACATTTAAGCATTTACATTTGAATGGTATGCAAAGATAAAAGTTGTACTTGATTGTTATAAAATGGTAGAATATTATTAGATCTTTTAACCAATATTAGTAGGTGCCACCAAATGAACGAAACTGTTTGTCCCTCAGCACCGGACACTAAGTCGTTCCTTATAGATATTATATAGATATTTCTTGTAAGAGCATATGTAATTCATTCTAATTATTTAATTTTGTTCTGAATGAGTGCTAATGGTCACTCCCATTTTTTGTATTTCCTAGTCGAACAATGAAAAGGTTATGGCGAATACATCAGCTGAAAGCATCGGTCTGACCCAGTCAAAAGAGGGGATAAATAGTGACTTTTTTGCAATATCTAAGAATATTTGTCAAAAACACATATGTAGACATTCCAGAGTGTGGAGATGGCTA